AAGTTCATAAAGAGTATTCCATAGGTAACAGTCCATAGGAAATAGTCCATGCATAGTCCTTAGGAAAAAGCCCATAAGTCCAAGGGTAATCCAGTATAGTAAAGGTTAGTCCCATGTGTCACGAATGAATGAAGAGTCGGTCTTGAATGACAATGTCCATAGGCAAAAAGTTCCTTTTTCAAGAGTAACTGGCAAGGGCTTATCGCACCTTCCCACGATGTCATCCAATCAGAGTTCGTTACTAGGCAAACAGTCCTGTCGCACCACATGACTTCTTTCCCATAAACACCAGATGTTATTTGGGTTACTGTAGTTTATCAAAGAGTCACAACAATTCCCATCTAATCACACCGAGTCCTTTTCTCAGGCTATCAGAATAACATTCTCTCTGCTCGCCTAGAAAACAACCTGTCAGCATAGCAAAGATACTTTATACAAAGGAACAAGATGGAACCTCTCTTGCTCATTTCTTAATTACAAAACCCATATTCCTTAAAAGATTTTACCTCAAAAACCCATCTCATCATATCCGGTATACTCCTGCAGTGGTGAGGGGGTCACTTTTGTCATTTCCTGACCGTAACATTTGTTGTATTTTTGTGGTGTGCCTGAATACTGTTTTTAGGTTGTGTTTATCATACTTTTTCAATACATTTTCTACTTTTTCATTTTCACATTTTTACCTTTAATGAAATCAGTTTATATTAGTATAGCACATTTGGGTTCATATTTAAATTCCAAGCCATGTGACAATAACTTTTAATATTTTTACCTTTTAATTGTATCAATTTTATTGCCATTAGTCATTACTAATTTATTTTCTATATGCAACAACATATCTGCAAGATATCCATCTCTTTTTCTCTTTCTGAAGAGTTCTCCATTAACCCAACCTTGTTGAAGTTCTCCTTCTACTTCGCAACCAATCTCTAGGTCAAGGGAAACTGGTGCTATAAACAGTTCTTTTATCTCTCCAGAGTGGTTTACTTTGGAATGACAATATTTCCAGGTAGGACAGGTAATCAGGATCTTGAACTTTTTGTTTCCTAGGATGAGATGAATCTCCTCTCTCCTCTGGTCTGGCATTCTCAGGCACCGTTTCCTGGAATCTCACCAACAGTCTCTTTTTAGCTTGGCAAGTTTTTTCAGATGTCAATAGAGTTTCAGGATTTGCAGTCACTGAAGCTGCTGGCTGTGCCATTTTGACCACTGCAAGTGGCAGCCATTTGTTTTTCCTGAAGCTTTCTCTCCTGCTTTTGATTTAACTACTGCTTCTCCTCTCTTAATTTTTTTAAAGCTGTTCACATTACCTTTTGAATGTGAATTGCTTACTCTGTCCTTCAAAGATGTTATAGTAACAGAAGCTCTTGGAGTTATATTACCTCTGATATGCTTTCT